ACCACACCTTTGCCTACCCTAGAAGTGCTGCCTAATGGGAAAGCTGCAAGCATGGTAACTACACGTCTTCTCAACAAAGTAAAGTCCTGGTAAATCGCAAAAGCAAATGTCCAAGCCAGAATACATCTCTCTGTCCTGTCCACAGGCCTAACTCACCACCTACAGCAAAGGTCTTTTCTACTTCTTCAGCTGATCATGCTCAAACCAAATCAATGAGATGCAGGCTTTAGGGATGAATTTTTCAGTGTGCTTTACTGTCTGTGGTTCTTTTACATTTTTATTTTTTTGTAAGAACTGATTGAGCCCCTGCTATAGGCCTAGAATCTGAGATGTAAGTTTGAAGAAAACAGACCCAGTTCACAGCTTTTAGGAGCTGGTATCCCAGAAATCGTCAGCATCCTCAGACCAACAAGAAACTGGCTTCCCTTATATTCACTTCCTGTCTTTACCCTGTATCGATTGTCTTTCTTATAGAAACGCCCAAACAAACATAAGAGGAGAATTTTGTACCTAATCACAAATGTCAAGATTGGGACTGTGTAGAGCAGTTATGGGAACAGGTTTCTTGGACACAAGAAACCATCAACTTGTAGTTTAGGAAGAAAATTGAACATATTTCCAGGGCAGGTGCATTGAAGTTTATTCCTTTGCCAATTTACTTGCCCTTCTCTTTCTTTTTCTCTCCTTACCTCTGTCCTCTTCTCCATCCTTACCTTTCTGAATATCTGAAGACACAATAGACACTAAAACTCAAGGTAGATGAAACTTTACAACTAAATAAGTCACACAGTGCACATGCTAGGAATCCAGACAGGCTACACACAGATGTAGAAAACTGATCCTCACCAAGACTCAAACATAGATATTAACCTCACTTTCTCTCTAAGGAAATGATCATAAAAGCAAGCAAAATTATATGTACCTAACTGCTTTCAATCACAGGCCATGATTCTCACCCCAGTGCCCCCTGTGGCTATGGCCCCCTGTGGTTCCTCTAAGGTTCTAAAGATTAAACAGTCAGTAGCCAACTTTGTGTGTGTGCATGTAAACAAGAGGGCTCGACTTTAAATAATTATGTCAAAGAAATGACAACTGTGCTCTTTGCCAGAGCAGGGATGAATAATTACAAAGCCAGGACATAATTAAGCAATTGTGACTGTCGGGAGGTTGAGCTGCTCCTCTGATGTGCAGGGCTGGTGTGTCGCCATCCACACCCTCCTGGACAGCCTTCTGTGCTCCTTTGATCTACAGTCCCAGTGAAGCAATGAGGGGCATGGTCTGGTCATTCCAGACGCCTTTCACTGGGGGCCTTGAGCTTCTCAGTATCTAGTTTGGTGCTCTCTCTCTGTTGATGGTGGCATGATTCAATGGCCAATAGTTGACAAGGCTATGGATTTTCTTTAAAATTCTGGAAAATGAGCAAATCCTAGCTGTCACGGGTCCATTAAGTGTACATACACACACATACACACACACACACTACAGAGACAGACACACAACACTACAGAGAGAGAGAGAGAGAGAGAGAGAGAGAGAGAGAGAGAGAGACTCATACAGAGAGTATGTGTGTGTACTGTGTGTACTGTGTGTCCGTGTGCACCTGAAAGAGTCCACTGTAGCATTACCTATCTGTAGCATTATCACATGTATTCTACTCACATGAATGAGAACACCCTTCCGTACAAGGATTCAAACTCAAAAGAAGGACAGGCAGCTTTGAAACAACAGAAGGCAAAGAGCAGTCACAGAGGCAAAATTTGTCATCAGGAGGAAGAACGAGAGAGAACTTGGATTTCCAGTGTCCAGGCCTGCCAGGTACCAAATCAAACCTTGGTGACATAGAGGGTTGATTAGTTCCTGGCTGATTTTGCATTTGCGTCAGCTGAGAACGTCCAGCCTGCCCATTCCCTACCTCGAAGGCAAGGACTGTGATTGGAGAGGCATTTTCCATTCTCCCAAATACTTTATGTCAGGAATAAAATGAAAACAGCTCCCCAAATCACAGCCTCCTTGATCATCCATCAGAACATTGTGCTGAATAAGCACAACAGGCCCCTGCTGCCCAGAAAGGACAGAAGCCAACTTGAGATTCCCATTCTTTTATGAAAAATAGGCCTTCAGCTAGTGTGTGTGCAGTGCAGCTCCAGCAATTTGAAGGAAGGAAATTGCTCTCCACTTAGAGGCTGACTCAAGGTGTGCACATGCCTCCCAGAACATACATATGTATACATGCACGCAGACATGGGAAATATATCTGCATAGGACCAAACATGTGTCTGTCTACACAGCAAATAGGCAAGAAGCAGCTGTCTGAATGCCAGTTTATTAATTCAGCAAAGAGCTCATTTGGCTCCCTTCTATCTGCAAGAAAAATACCACTGTGTATCTCAGAAAACAACAGACAAAAGGGAATCTCCCACCATTTGGCAGGCATGCAGTATGATAAACCAGTAATAACGTGGAATCTTCTTAGGATCTTGAAGGATCATCACATAAAAACCCTTAAACAGAACCCCAAGAACCCTGGTTTGGGTCCTAACTGTACCTCATCAGGACCTTAGACTTCTGACCCTCCCAGATCCCTCAAGCACAAAGCAACAGACGGGATCTCCTAAGAGGATATCTTGAGGCGCCTCAGAAACAGAAGCCAAGATCTCCCTGCTTCTTTGTCAAGGGCATTTTTGTCTCTCTCCTCAAATAATTAATGAGCGTTTTTAAGTGTAATACAGTTAGTAAGGGCATTAGAGTCAATCACACAAACATGTGCTAATTCTATAATTGATTCGATGCTAATGGGGACCGCCGAGGAGCACGTCTGCTCCTGTTGCTAATGACTCCGCCAGCTGACGGCAGGCTTTAAGGAACCCTTCCCCACCATGCTCAAAGGCAAGAGGAGATTCCACCTCTCCCTATCCCCATGCAGAAAACCAATCCATCCCCACCTGTCTCTCTCACTCAGGCTCCCCTGGGAAGTTTCAACTGTGTCAAGACATCTCCAGGGAAAATATCGACCTCTCTCTTGGGCTAAAACAGCAGAGTGAGAAGAGACTAGGCCCCATGTCAGACATAAGGGTAAAATTCCAGCTCAGGAATTCATGACCCAGTGATCTGGGCAGCTCATGAAGTGCTCTGGGACTGAACTCCATCCTATGTAAAATGTGTCAGTGGGTCCATCCTTCTATTTGTACGGGGCTCATAGTTGGGCACCTATGAAATACAACATCCCAGGACATGGACCGCACAGTTCAGCTTTCTATCGGCAGCTTTACAGCTTCCAATCCCAAAGCAAATGAAGATCTGCTCTGTGCAGTGTAAACGTGGGAAAAGCAGGGTGGCCAGTATCTGACCCCCAGGATATCACAAAGACTTCATCTGCTATACTTGGCTGGGGTTGGTGATGTTGACTGTCTCTGAAGTCCTAGAAAAGGAGGAGAGAAAGAGAGAAAGGAAGGAAAAAAAGAAAGAAAAGAAGCCAGAAGATAAATTCTTTCATTTGGACAAAATGGCCAAAGCTGGAATAACTAAAGGCAGTCATGTGCATTCTGTCAGGCCTGTGCTACAATAAGGAGAACTGTTAACACTTTAATAGCTATGAAATGAATCACTCAATTAATTCTCCACATGCTGAAACAGGTAACAATACATTTATCTGCCAGAATTATACCCTCCATATCATATATTTCCACAACTGTTAGCAATTTCATTCAGCATAACAGGAAATCAGTCGCACCTCATGGATTCAGGGAAAGAAAGTGGCCTGAGGTCTGCTGCCAACAGCGTAACTTGATGGAAGAGGTTTCATTGTTCTGCTCTGTTTTGGCTTTGTTTGGCTTTGCTTCCCTGCTTAATCACTTCCAATGCATGTACGGAGGGCTATAAGTCACCAGGTGAGGACAAACTAGACCTTCAGGATTCCTGTGCCAGCATTTTCAACATATAGCTGCAATTTCATAGGCAGTAACTAAGGAGCTCCACAGTGCTCCAGGGTAATGAAGTTTCTAGAAAGGGGTCATCATCAGGGTCACTGAATCTACTCCCCGGGCTCAGGCTTCTTAGAAGGGTCCAATGTCTCCCAGAGAGATTATTGCAAACATCCTTAAAACCTCCTGTGTCTGAATCAAAGATTCCAAACCTATTGTCACGAACTGTATTTAGGGAGCACATAGCAGCCGTAGCTCAGATTGTCTGGAAACACTGCCTACTGTGCTAACATCGCCTCAGGGAACTGAAGAGCCTTCATCTCTAATAGAAGAAAATGACCCCCTTTTATTAGCAAGAAACAAGCACCCCCTCCAAAAGGTGAGAGGAATTGTATCCACATGAGAAACACAAAATTCTTAGTGTGCTCTTTTTCAGCTCCAGAACCCCTTGAGAAGAAAGCATTGAGGGCTCCTAACATTCACCTTTGAACTTCACTGAGCTTCGTTCATGTTTCTGTGTGCCTTAGTTACTGTTCTCCTGCTCTGCTAAAATGTCATGACCATGATGACTTATCTATGAAAAGTCGTTTATTGCAGGCTTAGAGTATCAGAGGGTGAGTCCATGACCTTCATGACAGGGAGCATGACAGCAGGCTGGCATGGTGCTGGAGTAGTAGCTGGGAGCTTACATTCTGACTCACATTCACAAAGCAGAAGCAGATAAGAGGCAATCTCAAAACCCACTCTAGTACTGGCACATTCTCCCAACAAGGCCACATTTCCCAATCCTTCCTAAACAGTTCCACCACATGGAGGCCAGTATTCACATAAGCCTATGGAGGTCATTCTCATTAAACCACCAGGTGTGTTATAAACGAGTCTCCCTAGTCTGAGTGATAGGGAGACCTAAATTATAGCCAGTCAATTGCCTGAGTGGGCCAACTCTATATCTATGACTGAACACTGGTGTGAGATCATGTCTACTTTCTAAATACATAGGAAGATACCACCCATGCTCTGCAGAGAAACAAGTGAAGTAAGATATAAATCCCACATGAAAACCAAACAGTAGCAGCTCACCTTGGGTTTCACCACCTTCATGAAGGCCCCTCTGACCAACGCCTCCTCCCGTTCTTGTCTGGTGACTTTCTTGGCATCCAGAAACTTCAAATTGGGCAGCTTGTGCAGAACAAAGCACCTGGGACAAAAAGGCAGACACAACTTGAGGAAGCTGGAATCACAGCTTCAGGGACGTCAGCAATATGTCTGAACCTTGGGAATCCACACAATAAAGCTTTAAGGGTTTAAATCTTAGCCACCACCTCCCCTACCCCCAGCCAACACAGCCCTCTCCTACAGGGGAAATTTTAAAGGTTGTACTTTATGCAGATAAACAACCAAGTTTGAGTCATAATTACACTTGACTCAATGGGTAGATATATACCTCATTAGATTTCACCAGCCAGTAGGACCCTGTCAAAGTATTCTTTTCTTCCATTCTAAGAAAGGGGCCTTGCTTCAATATGGAAAGTTCTCAGTAAGACTACTCTAAACCTTGATCAGATGTACCATGGTATGTACCTGCCATTCTTGGGAGGTATCTATATCATTCTCTTCATTGATACAACAGATTGGCAATTTAGAGCTGAAGTGGTAGGCCAGAATTTCCCAGAGGCCCCATAAGCTGGCTGGCTTTGGCATAAGAGTATGGTATGCTTGCAGCTGAGAAATGTTTCACTGAGGACTCAAGAGAGTCTCAAGTACTTTCTGACATTTCTGGGTAATTTCCACAATGTAGCACAGAGGTGATCTTTGTCAAGGATAACTAGGAGACAGAGGTGGCGTCTACGGATTTTTAATATCCCCCAAATACTCCGTTTCCTCTATTCCCTTTGAAAGATCATTAGTACTCATTCTAGATCGCCACAGGCAAGCCAATGGCTGTGTGTGTGACAAATTACCCTCCAACAGGTGCATATAAAGGTATTGACAATAAGATGCACTTGGCCAGGGTTTATGTTTATAGATGTATAAGTATAGAGATACTGGTCTATACTTCTTGTCAGCAACAATCATCAGCCTAGTTACTTCCCATCAGTACACTCTCTATCAACCGAATGAGCGATTGCCCTGACCCTCTTTTGCTTTGGAAGAAGAGATAAACACTCAATGTCAATACCAATGAACAACTTCTAAAGAAACCTCTCACTTCCTTCTTATAATTCTCTCATATTCCACATCCCAACCTCAGGAAACATTCCTTCTAAACTCTAGCCCACACTACTTTCTTCATTCTAAATGCTCCTAAAATACACTATCAGCATCCAGTCCAACATATTGCCGTTTCAGCTATTTCCTTGATATTAAAGTAATAAATGTTCTTATCTAAGCTACAACCTTCTCAAAGATTTACTTTCATTATATCTTGGAAACCAAAGCAAGAATGAGTTCAATACCCTGTCCATTCATTCAGCTGCACAAATATTTCTTGATTACCTACTATGTGCCATGTAGCTAGGGATTATGATATCTCTCCATTCTCAAAGAGGTTCTTATTGTAATGGGGAATATTTATTGACACAGGACTAACTAGAAATCAGTGAGGCTAAGTTGTGCACCAGAGTTGTTATGCAAAAACAGAGAACAGCTGAAAACTAAAGGGAAAAAGAAATATGCCATCTCAAACAGGCTTCAAAGACCCAAATTCAAAGGCAACTCATTTAGGAGTTTATCAGTCCAGATATTCCTGGACATCCACTTTGTGTCCCTCCCCACTGGAGCTCAAGGTTCCCAGAGCCTCCTCCCATATCTACAAGGTAATTTCATATTATCAAGTAACCTTTATAAGCTTATTTAGGTAAAAGACCTGACCATCACTCAAGAGCCAGAGACAGAATTCTAAAGCCCTCTACCTCTGGACTCTTAAACTCAAAACACATTAAAATAATTTTACAATTAACTTCAATGAATTCTCCTATGAATTACTATATCATTTCATGTGAGTGAGCAAGCCCTTGGGCTTTGGACACAGGTCAAAGGCCAATATCCCAGATCCCATTCTCTTCTTCCACTTTACTAAGGTGGGGTTTCTTGATTTGCAGTGCTTTGTACCATAGATTAGCTGGTCCATAAGCTTTTGGGCTCCTGTTTCTGCCTTCCATCTTTCCATAGGAGTATCCTGAATTACAGATGTGCACCATCAAGGTGTCAGGGATGACTCAGGTCATCAAGTTTCTGTGGGTCCATGAAATTCTTTTACAGTCTATCCCAAGACTAGAGATCTTGGAATGTCCCCAATCTTGTTCTTCCTTTCTCCTACCCAGCATTCCTCCCTCTTGCTTCCTCCTTGGCCTCAATCTATCACCTGCTTTCCTTTTCTCCCAAAGCCTGTTTCTCCTTAACCTCCACCCTCAATACCTCTGATCTTATCTAAAATGAGGCAAAGGGCTCAAGTGTTCTTTCTTACCCTTTAGCAGAATTCCCACCGGCCTCAGGCTGTCAGAGAAAACTTCCATCTCCTGCTTATACAGGCAAAGCCTTGATGACAACAGATTCTTTCAAATAAAGACATGTACAGACAGAAACAATATGTCAGGAGTGACGCTCAAAGGAGTAAAGACACCCACTAAGTGTAGGGTGGGAAAAGATGAATATTCAGGTGAGGACAACATCAGTATTAGAAAATCAGCCAATGTTTAATGATGAAGTGAAAGATGCCTTCACGGGGCTGCCAGGAAGCACAGTGACAACAGACCGTGCATTGTCATTTCACCTAGCTTTGGATCACAGCTCTGAAATCAAAGGAGTGAGACAGAGAGGTGCTGGCTTTTAAGCTAGTTAAAAATTTTTGGATGACAAAGAGCTACTGTTTGCAGAGGTTTCTTCTTAGTGTCAGAGAGACAGCCTATGACAGAGTCTGTCAATCATCCCTTGACTTCAGGTGACTTCACTCCCATCCTAAGGGCCACCATGAGTTCCCAGAGAAGTTTGAGGGATTTGAGGGTTACTCAACCTATGAGGATCAGAATGTGGTGCCTGGAAGGATAACAAACTAGGATAGGACACCCACTCTCGTTAGACCAATTAAAGAGACAACTTGATATTGAGAAGCAGGGAAAAGATCTCAATCCAATGTGAAGGGGAATAGGAACATTGGGAAAAAGAACAAAGAGCTGCAATGATCCCCATGTCCATCTTTATGGTCCTAAGGTGATGTTTAGTTTTAAACAGAGGGCCAGAGGTATGCATAGCTAAGCAGTTCTTTTCCAATGAGGGAACCCATTTGTCACCACTGTCTCAGCTCAGGTAGCTACTGCAATATAGGATGACAAGCTATGAACCTCTTTCAGGGAGACAACCCCCCCCCCCACCTGGCTGGCACCAGGCTTCCAGGATTTTCTTTCCTCTAGCATGAGATTCCCTAAGAAAATTTCAATGTTTTGGAATCCATAGCCTGATGGCCAAAGTGGAGGGTGCTAATTACTCTTTAGAACATCGCCATCTCAAGAAGTCTGCAAGTGTTGCTCAGTTCGAGTTTGATCACTATGGTCCATAGTAGAAGGAGATAAATGGTTCCTAAGAGCCACCCTCTGACCTCCATGTGTACATCTCTATCTCATATCATACACACATATATACATATACACACACTAATAGTAAATGAAAAAAATAAATTTTAAACAGTGCTAGAGTGATAACTCCGTAGTTAAGGGCACTTTGTGGTTTTCCAGAAGACCCAAGTTCAGTTAACAGCATCCATGTCAGGAGGCTGCCAACAACTGAAACTGTAGCTCCAGAGGATCTGGCACCTTCTTCTCACCTTAGTGCATACCCACACATGTGTACGCATATACTTAGACACATAAACAAAAATTAATATCTAAGCTCTTTAAAATGAGTTTCGTCATCCCTGTCAGAATGACTACACTAGGTGAAGTTCTTCCCCAATGATTCATTGCCTCCTCAGGAATGCCTTATTACATTTATTTACCAGTTCAATGAGTAATAGTTGGGGAGCTACTACCTTGAAGGAACAATGCAAGGTGCTGAGAAGGTGAAAAAACCTAACAGAAGACCTTTGCTCTCAGTGCGTCCTACGTTCTAGCATGGCGTTTACATTCTAGCACAGTGGTTCTTGATTTTTGAGCAGGCATCCTTATGACCCACAGGCTTGTTAAGGGACGGAGGCAGTTGCCAGCCCATCCCCAGAGCTCCTTACTGAGGCGATCTGGACGAAGGCCTGGAATTTATGTTTCTAATAAGTTCCCAGGTGATGCTGTCACGGCTGCCATCCTGCTGAGAACCGATGTCCTACTGAAAACAACACCACAAGGACTAATAGCTGGGAAATTATGAGAGCAATGAGGCAGCCAGGAGTCTCTTTCCTAGTTCAGCTAACAGTCTGCCCTGCCCTGGCACCTGTGCTCTGTGAGCCCGGCTAACAGTCACGTTTACCAGGTCTTCCTGTCCCCTGGTGACTTAGAATAGGCTCCAGCATTCCTGCCAAGTCATAAGCCAGTGGGCATCCTGCCTGCCTGTCCCATGCTGGTCTTGGGAGATCCATTTCCCTTTGTTCTAGGTCATGTCAGAGTGTCAAAAGCTGCAGCTTCAATCCTGAGTGTAATACAAGTTTGCCATAAAAACACAAGAGCAGATTCCCAAAGCCACAGAACGAAGGCTTTTACAATATCAATTCAGGCCTTGTAAATTTAATCCAGGGGTTATTTGTTGCACCCAAATCTCTTTACCGTGATGTATGACTTAGTTACCAGGGGTTATCACAGCCGTATCCTAAAGTTGCATAGTACATAAAACATTTCAGTTAACAATGTGGAGAGGTTAACTCCCCCAGATAACCTGCAATCACAAGGGCTAGTCCAGATGACATCCCTCTGTCAGCTCACAGGAGCTATTGATGGTTCAATCAGTTTGTTTTGAAGGAAAAGAACAACAAAAGGCCAGTAAACTTATTCAGACTGTCAACAGGGGCTATCGGGAATGGGACTTGCAGGTAAGTAATTCTGGGTGTTTTAAGGCTATTATCAAACAGCAATGGTTGAAGGAAGAGACAGCTACTAATAACACAGAAGGCAGCCATCATAAACCACTTTATGGCAGAACCCCCCTGTCCATAAATCCTGTGACACCCGGAGACAGCTTCAGATTTATAAAACTGCTTGTTAAGCCAGAGCACTGCTT